TTATTATTTTTTGGTACCAGGGATCAAACTCAGGACCTTGTGCTTGCAAGGCACGTGATGGAACCACTGAGCTAAATCCCTGGCCCCCTGGATTAATTTTAAAATCCATCGATGAGGGGCCAGGAATTTAGCTTGGTGGTGCCATGCCTGCCTGCCAAGTGCAAGGTCCTAAGTTCAATTCCCTGTACCGGAAAAAATAATCCACTGAATAATAATTTTTTTTTTTTTGTACCAGGGATTGAACTCAGGACCTTGCACTTGTGACTGATGAATAATTTTTGATAGAACCATTTGTTACTCTAGTAATTATAAAATGAATTGCTTTTATATTTGAGTTTTAATCATTTTTTTTTATATTGGTAGGATACTATTTACCTTCTGGAAGGAATTTACAAAACTGATCCAAAGTAGGTCATGTTTTGTTTTATCAGATAAGTTGTTAAATAACAGCTTATCTAAGTTAAAATTTACTCAATGTGAAATGACAAGTGCATTTACAGCACTATCATTTTTCAGATTCTCTGAAGACTGCATCTCAGTTTTAGTGCTCAGGTATCTTACAGAAGCTTTACCAGAAAACAGGTAACCATCTCACATTCTTTTGCTCCTTAGACCTTAATGAAAAACTCATTTCCTGGTTGATAAACATTTAATGAAATTTCTGTTCCCACTTACCAGATTGAGTCGGTTACTTCACAAACACAGATTTGCAGAAGCTGAGAGTTTTGCCATTCAGTTTGGACTAGATGTTGAGGTAAGTGTGGGTGTTGAGGTATATTTGTCCCTATAACAGGCATTTCTTTGGTGGACTTGATGCTGAGGAGACGCAGACATAAAGCATTGGCAGGTAGTGTGAGCAGCCTTGTGATTAATACACGGCAGAGTAGGGAGGCCTTGGATGCTTCCGGGAACTCCTAGTGGTTTGGGCCAGAGTGGGGTTCTACGAGCAAGGGAGCGAAAGGAAGTGAATGGGCCAGAGCCTGGAGGGCCTCACGTGCACTGCAGAGGATTGAGGTTTCATCCTGCAGGTGATGAGGAAGTAATTTTGAGCCACAAAATGCCTTGGGTGGGCAGTTTGGAAAGACAGAGAGTTGTCTGGAAAAGCCTCAACCAAAAGGTTCAAATGTCAATCAGGAGCTGAAGCAACTTTCTGTGGGAGAGCGAAGCTGTGCTATGCAGTGGAGCTGTATGAGAGAGGGAGAGCGGCTGATAGGTATATACACAGTAGAATCAGCAGGGTGCAGTGGGTAAATACAGGGAGGGGCAGAAGACTGGAAACTGGCCAGGAGGACCTGGCTCAGTATACACATTGGGTGGTGGTGGCCTTGCCTAAAATGAGGAATGTGAGTGGAAGAACAGGTTCTGGTAACAAGATCAAGAATTCTGCTTTATAAACGTTGGCTGTTAGGAACCCGGGGAACTAGGAGTGTCTGCTAGGAAACCAGGGGGTGACCTGAGCTGACGGGACGTAGGGAAACCCAGAGGAGAGGCTCAGCACCTGGGGAGAATGCACAGCAGGAGAACGTGTGGAGTGGAAAGAGATCTGAGTAGGAGACCCTGGGCACCAGCCCGTGAGAGACAGGAGAAAGGGTCCACACGTGATCCACACGTGTAGGAGGAAATCAAGGAAGAAAACCCAGGAATGCACCAGTCCAGAAGCCAAGGAGATAAATTTTAAGCTGAGTAGAGAATGATTGTCAATTGCAGATGCTACAGAGAAGGTCATATCAATGCTGAAGTTCAACTGATGTTTTTAGTGTATGGGCATCACTGAATCTCTTGAAAAGTGTGTTTCCTGAGGAGGAGTGCAGGAGACAGCCTGATTGTAGTTCATTAAAGGGTTAATGTTTACCCAATGGGTGGACAGTGCCCATGTGGTGGTATATTATTTTATTTTATGGTACTGAGGATCAAACTCCGGTCCTTGCACTTGCACAGCAGGCGGCAAAACCACTGAGCTAAATCCCCAGCCCGGTATTTTAAATATATAGCATTTTACACATGTAGAATAATCCTATGTATGACTAAAGGAGTAAGTAAATCAAAGGAGTATTAAGTACGAAGAGCAAAATAATAGATACTTCTTGTGGGAGAAGGGGGACAGTGTATTCGTGAAGAAGACTGGGTTTTAGCTGTATTGGGATAATGCTCTTTTTCTTTTCATTTTCTTTTTGAGTCAGGGTCTTGCTTTGTAGCCCAGGCTGACCTTGAACTTATTATGTAGCCCAGGCTGGCCTCATACTCACAGAGATCCTCCTGCCTCAGCTTCCCAAGTGCTAGGATAACAGGCATGCATCACCACACCCACCTTATGCCCTATTTCATTTATTTTTTGGACCTGGGATTGCACTCAGGACCTTACGCTTGTGAGGCAGGTGTGCTGCCACTGAGCTAAATAACCGGCCCTATGCCCTATTTCTTAAGGGTGATGAGCACATGAGTATTTGTTGTATTATTGCCCTTTTGAATATCTAAGAGATTTCATTTAAAGACTGAATAGAAATACTAGCTCTGTGAAGCTGAGGCAGGACAGTTTTGAGCCCAGCCTGGGCAATTTAGGGAAATCTTTTCTCAAATTAAAAAAGGGCTAGGACCAGGGATTTAGCTCAGTGGTTCCGCTGCCTGCCTCTCAAACACAAGGTTCCGAGTTCGATCTCCGGTACCAAAACAAAAGGGCTGAGGATGTAGCTTTGTGAGAATGTCCTGGATTCAGTCAACAGTACTAAGAAAGAAAGAAAAGAGAGAGAGAGAGAATGGAACAAAAAGTTAAAAGACCTATGAAAAGAATGAGAGAAGTGGAGAAACTACTCTTTGTTACCATATTTAACTTTCAGAACCAAAAATCTGTCAAAATTGATATTCTGCACATAGAAAAACCTGAAATTTTGAATGTTTCTAAGTCTAGCCACTAAAGAATCTTTGACAGAGTTAGAAAACAAGACATGAGAGCCAGGAATTTAGCTCACTGGCAGTGCACCTGCCTTATAAGCACAAGGTCCTGAGTTTGATCCCCGCTACCAAAAAAAAGAAAAAGAAAACAAGACATGAACCTTAATTCTGTGGTCGCCTTGGAAGACCAGCTCCAAGCTGCACATGGTGGCCGGCATGTTACCTGTAGTCCCAGCTACTGAGAGGCCAAGGCAGAAGGATCATCAGGAGTTTGAAGCCAGCCTAAATGACGTAGTGAGACTCTCTCTCTTTATTTTTATTTTTTTTGGTACTGGGGATTGAACTCTGGTCCTTGTGATTGCGAGGCAGGTGGTGGAACCATTGAGCTAAATCCCCAGCCCAAGACTCTCTCTTTTTAAAAAAATTCTGGTACTGGAGACTGAACCCAAGACCTTCACACTAAGGTACATCCCCAGCCCTATTTATTTAATTTTGACAACAAGTCTTTGCTAGGTCACTAAATTTCCCAGACTATACTCTAACTTGTGATCCTCCTGCCTCAGTCTCCCAAAATGCTATGACTACAGGCATGTACCACCATCCCTGTCTTTTGAAAGAAAAACAAAGGGCCCAGCGATGTAGCTCAGTGGTGCTGCCTGGTAAGCGCAAGTTCCTGAGTTTGATCCCTGGTACCAAAAAAAAATTTTTTTTAATAAAAACAAAACAAACTCAGCTCCATTACTTTTGGGCTAATTAATTTGACACATATTACTGGACTTTTCTTGGGTCTTAGATTTAGTGTTTGGAAAATAGGGATGTTAGTAATTATCCCAAAGGATTATGATGAGATGTAAACACTTCTCAGAATTTTTATGAGAATTAAATGAGGTAATTCAGATAAAACTTTTTTTTAATAAAGCAGTGTTGGAGATTGAAGCCAGGGTCTTTGCACTGAGCTACATCCCCAGCCCTTTTTCATTTTTTATCTTGAGACAGGGCCTGCTAAGTTGTTAAGCTGCCCAGGCTGAGCTTACACTTGGAATCCTTCTGCTTCAGCCTCTTGGAGTGCTGGGATTACAGACATACACCACCATGTCCAGCTAAAACGTTTTTTAGTTGACAAATAATCATTGTATATACCTATGGAGTGTAATGTAATATTTTGATAAGTGTTTACATTGTGCAGTGGTTAAATCAACCTAATATATCAGTTACCTTATGTACTTGTCATTTTGTGTGTGCTTAAAAACATTTGATGTCTGTTAATAATTTTGAAAATATATAATGCATTATTATTTTTTTAATGTGTGTGTGAAATACTGGGACTGAAACCAGGACTTCACATTCAGCTTCAGACCCCACCCCTTTTTAAATTTTGGGACAGGGTCTCACTAAGTCACTAAGTTACCCAGCCTGGGCTTGAACTTGTGATCCTGTTACTTCAGTCTTCCAGAGTGCTAGGGTCACAGATGGGCACCACCATGCCCAGCTACATGATGCATTATTTTGTTTTGTTTTGTTTTTTGGTACCGAGCATCAAACTTAGGACTTGCGCTTCCGAGGCAGGCTACACAATACATTATTGACTATAAAGTCACCATGTTGTTCAGTCGTCTCTAAAACTTATTCCTCCTGTCTCACTGAAAATTTGTACCATTAATCAACATCTTTCCTTTCTCTGTCCACTCTCTTCCCCAGCCTATTGTAACCACTATTCTGCTCTTTACTTCTTTAAAAACTCTATTCTTTTAGATTCTGCATGTATATGAGATCATGTATCTTCCTTTTGTACCTGATTTATTTTACTTAGCATAATGTCCTGCAGGTTCATCCATATCATTGCAAATGACAGAATTTCCTTCTTTTTTAAAAGCTTAATAGTATTCCATCTTGTATATATACTACATTTTAAAAATCCATTTATCATTCATGGACAATTTAGGTTGCTTCCATGTCTTAGCTCACGTAAAATTCTTAGTGCGATAATTGATACATCCAGGAAGATCTCAGTTTTAAAAAATGGTTTTCATAATTCCTAATAATCCAGATTACTTTTCTGATATCTAAGGGTTACTTTCTTTAATCTTTTTGTTGTTATTGTTCTTTGGTTGGTTGGTTTGGTTTTTTTTTGGTACCAGAGATCAAACTCGGGACTTTGCACTTGCAAGGCAGGTAGCAGAACCATTGAGCTAAATCCCTGGCCCCAAATTGGTTGGTTTTTTTTTTTGAGACAGGGTCTCATTATGTGGTCCAAGCTGGCCCTGAACTCACTATGTACCCAGTCCATCCTCCAACTTATGGTTATCCTCCTGCCTCAGCCTCCCGAGTGCTGGGCTTACAGGTATGCACCACCACACCTGGCTCATCTTCTTTAATTTTTAATCCTGAGCCGCATGAGGATTCATCTTTTTTCATAATAGTGTATGTGACACAACTTGCTGTTAGAATCGATCATCTTCAGTTATTCCCATACTTCAAGTCACTTCATGTGGCATGTTTATGTTACAGCTTGTATACAAGGTAAAAGCAAATAATATATTGGAAAAACTAGCTTTGTGTTCTGTGGACACCAGCGAGCAGACCAAGTGGCAGCACCTGGTAGATGAAGCAAAGGAAAATCTGCATAAAATCCAGGTATGTGTTCCCAGCCACTCAGGATATAATCCCAGCACTGCAGTGTTGTGTTGGTCAGCGCTCAGTTGCCTTACTGTGTCTGCGTTTGTGAGCCAGGATGATGAGTTTGTGGTGAATTACTGCCTAGAGGCCCAGTGGATAACCTATGAGACTACCCAGCAGATGCTCAACTATGCCAAAACCAGGGTAAGGGATCAGTCTTTTCTTTTTCTCTTTCTTTCTTTCTTGGGAGAATTTGTTTTTATCATGCATCATTCTACCACCTTAAATATTGTGGGGTTGTTTTTTTTTTCTATTTTCCTATATCTGTATAGCAATTTCTTAAAAATAAAACTTTAAAAAAAATTTTTGAGACAAGGTCTTGTTCTGTAATTCAGGCTGGCCTTGAACTCACTGTGTAGCTCAGGCTGATCTCAAACTTGCAGTGATCCTCCTGTCTCAGCCTCCTGAGTGCTGGGATTACAGGCATGTGTCACCATGCTTGGCCTTTTTTTTTTTTTTGGTGGCACTGAGAACTAAACTCAGGGCTTTCACACCTAGCTATATCCCTAGCGCCCCCCCCTTTTTTTTGGTACCAAGGATCAAACTGAAGACCTTGTGTTTGCCAAGCAGCCAAGGTGCCACTGAGCTACATCCTTGGCTCCCCTAGCCCATCTTTATTCTGAAAGAAGGTCTTGCTAAAAGCCCCCAGACTGGGCTTGAACTTGTAATCTGCCTCACCTTCCTAGAGTGCTGGGATTATATGTGTATGCTGGCATGCCTGATCTAAAAGAAAAAAAAACTTTTTAGAATTATAGCTGTGTTGAGATAATTAGCATCATGCAATTCACCCATTTAAAGCTCTGTGACTTTTAGTATATTTACTGAATTTTTTTGTTCATTTGTTTTTTTGAGACAAGGTGTTGCCATATAGTCCAGGCTGTGAACTCACTATGTGGCTCAGGGTGGCCTCAAACTCACAGTGATCCTCCTGCCTCAGTCTCCTGAGTGCTGGGATTACAGGTGTGCCATCACACCCAGCTAGTTACTGAATTTGTGCAGCCATTATCGCCATCAATTTTATATCATTTTCATTGCCCCAGACACAAACCCCACACTGTAACAGCCACTGTCAATCTCATCCATCCCAACTCAGGCAAACACGAGTCTCTCTGCTGTCCCTACTCAATGTGCCTACTCTGGACGTTACAAATACATAAATGAAATACGTGGTGTTTATATCTGGCTTCTTTGACTTAGCCTGTTTTCAGGGTCTGTGCTGTTGAAGTGTGTGTCAGTACTATATTTCTTTGCGTTACTGGATAATATTCATTGTATGTAGGTAGGCCACATTTTGCATAGCCATTCACCCTCTGATGGGCACTTGAGTTCCATATTTTTGCTATTGTGAGAGGAATGCTGCTATAAACATGGTTGTACAAATATCTGTTTGAGTCTGTGCTTTCAGTTCCTTTGAGTATCTACCCATGGGTGGAATTGGTGGATCATATGTTAATTCCACGTCTGAGTTTTTGAGGAGCTGCCTCCTTGTTTTCCACATGGCTGCACCATCTCACATTCCCACCAGCAGTGTGCACAGGTTCCACTTTTTCCACAGCCTTTCCAACTCATGTTGTTTCTCTTTTGTGATATTAGTCATCCTAATGGGCATGAAGTAGAGGGTAAGTTTTTATAATGTTTGTACCTGTGTGTATTATGCAAAAAGAATATTTAAAAATAGATTCTTTTTGGGCTGGGGATTTAGCTCAGTGATTCCAGCACCTGCCCCACAAGTGCAAGGACCTGAGTTTGACCGCGATACCAAAAAAAATAGTCTTTTTCTCTTGTAGATTTTTCTTTTTTTTTTTTTTTTTGGTACCGGGGATTGAACTCAGGACTTTGCTCTTGCAAGGCAGGCAGCAGAACCACTGAGCTAAATCCCCGGCCCTGATTTTTTTTTTTTTTTTGGAGACAGGGTCCCACTCTGTGGTCCAAATTGGCCTTGAACTCACAGTGTGGCCCAGGCTGGCCTCAAACTCACAGTGATCTTCCTGCCTTAGACTCCAGAGTGCTGGAGTTACACTCATGGGCCACCATGCCTGGCTTATTATAGATCTTTTGGGTTTTTTTGGGTTTTTTGGTACTGGGGATCGAACTCCAGTCCTTGGGCTTGCGAGGCAGGCAGTGGAAGCACTGAGCTAAGTCCCTGGCCCAGTAATGACATTTTCATAGTAAAGTGTTCCTGTCAGTGTCCTATGAGTACAATTGCTCGTTATAGTCCATAAAATCAAAATATAACATGGGCAAATTGTTGTAGGCTGTTTTCATATAATGCATTTTTTTAAAAAATGTAATTTCCTTATTTTCTGTTCATTTCAGAATTAAATGCAGTTTATTATCAATGGTAATGTTTTCTATTAATTCACAGAAAGCTCCTCCTTTTTAATGAAAAACTTAATATAGCAGATGTTTTATTTTCATCCTTAGCTTTTGAAGAAAGAAGATAAAACTGTTCCCTTCTATTCTGAAGGCTTGATAGAGGTAATTACATGAGATTAATTTGGGGGTGAATGAGCCTTCACAATTTTCTCCCTTTCAACATAGGCTTGCATTTCTTCAGGAGCAAGTTGTTATTTTAATATCTCAGCTTACTTGTTTCCAAAATGGGACTATTAATAGTATCTTCCTTATAGAGTCACTTAGAGGTCATGGGAAATAACTCCTAAAAACTGTTTCCCATAGATCCTGATATCTGCTAAATTCTCAAATGTAAACTGATGATAATTATGATAATCCCCAAATACATGGGTGCATGTACAAGAGTGTATATAGCTGTAAACTCTCAAAGTAAAGTTTGTATAATTCAGCTAAGTTTTATAATGTCACTTACGTCATTGTGAAAAATGATTTTTTGAAGGGCAATATAATTAATATGTGTGTCCCTTTATAATTAAATGTGATTGGAAATGTTTTCATTATTCCATTTGGGATGTATATTAAATAAAGCTAGTTGGATTAATGGGGTTGACCTGTAATGTGGATAAAATGATAATGTGAGACTTCTGAAGTAGAATGATCCTAATTTTTGGTGTTTTTAAATTTGATGTCATTGCATACAACATTCAGATTATCAAGTTCTGTCTTCTTTAGGTACTAAGGGCTCATGCAAAGTTGACTACTTTTTATGGAGCATTTGGGCCAGAAAAATTCAGGTGTGTACATTCTGTTTTTAATTTTTACAATATAAATTAATTAGAAGTTTAGAATATTGTGGAAAAATACAGCATTCTTTTAGATAAATTTGTCTTACTTGGAGAGGAAGAGCTGGGGTGTTCAAATGATGGAAAGTATTATCTGTCTAGCAAAAAACAATTGGCTTAAGGACCTCCTTGTCTTTTGGGGGTTATTTTTTTTGACATCCAGGCTATATGTAGCCCAGGCTGGCCTCAAACTCAGGGTGATCTTTCGCCTCAGCCTCTGAAGTGCTGGGATTGCAGGCATGTGCCACCATGCCCAGTTGTGTCATTTAAAAAATATGAATATGTTTTTCTCATAATCATTCTCTTATATCTTCCACTGGTTCATTTCCTTTTATTAAATTTTTTTTTTTTTTTTGGTACCAGGGATCGAACTCGGGTCCTTGCACTTGCGAGGCAGGCGACAGAACCACTGAGCTAAATCCCTGGCCTCCTTTTATTAATTTATCCTGATAACACAGGGATGTCTGTGTTAGTCAACTTTTTATCACTAACAGAAACCACTAAAAGGAGGAGAAATTAGTTATGGCCCGTGGTTTCAGATTTCAGACCATGGTCACTTGGCTTCTTTGCTTCTGGGCAAGAGTTCGGCAGAGCATCATGTCAGGGAGTATGTGCTAGGGCCACACAGTTCACCTCCTGATGCACTGGGCCAGAGAGAGGAGAGCCAGAGCAGAAAGGGCTTGGGACAAGATGTAGTCCCCGAGGGAAGCCGCCTGACCCACCTGCTTCAACTGGGTTTCATGGCCTAAGTTTCCTTCATTTCCCAGTAATGCCTCAAGTTGGGAATCTGTCCGTGGATGAATCCACCAATGGTTAGAGTCCTCCTTATCCAGTTATCTTGTACCCCTGGACATTGCTGCATTGGGGAGCAGGCTTTTGCCACATGAGCCTTTGGGGACTCTTCCTGTTCTAACTGTAATAATAGCTCATATTTGAAAGTAATATTTTTGGTGCATGTATGAATACACATAAATTCAATTACTGAAAATGCAGTTGTTGAGGCAAAATGTATGTGCATAAGAGTTTGGATATGTAATTGTTTGGGTAGAGTAGAAGAGTGCCTGCCCATTTTCTCATTCATTCACCAAGAACTTGTAAAAGTTTCATTTTTGCTAATTTGATGTTTGAAAAAAGTATTATAAAAATATTGCTGGATTGCTTTCTTTTCTTCTTTTTTTTGTTTTTGTCTTTTGTTTTTTGTTTCTTTAGACAGGGTCTCACTATGTAGTCCAGCCTGGCCTTGAACTCACTGTGTAGCCCAGCTGGTCTCCATCTCATGGTGATCCTTCTGCCTCAGCCTCCCAAGTACTGGGATTTGTTTTAAAGGTTTATGAGGAAAAATTTTAAAAGAGCAAACTAGTTAATATGCACAATGATACTCACTTGGAAAGTATAAGCTTAGTGTGTTTTTAAACTACTTTTTCCTTCCTTTGACTTCTCAGTAGTAGTTCTTGGATTGAATTCCTGAATAATGAAGATGACCTTAAAGATATTTTGCTACAACTAAGAGAAGGAAACCTTGTCTGTGCACAGTATCTTTGGCTGAGACATCGGGTAATACATTTTGCATTTTTTCTTAAAAGCCTTTAAACTCCTGAGATGGAGGTCTGACTCAGTTGAAACCAACAGGGGCACATATGATTGGGTAATAGAATATTGTCAGATTGATTAGACATGCCTGTCCCTGTGATGATTCTAAATCAGAGGAAATACTATAAAGATACAGTAGAACATTATTTTACCTCATGGAGTCCAGATAGCTCCAAATCTTAGTTCAACAAGCAACATTTTATTAAGGTATTCACTGATCGAAGCCCAGGTTGTGGTTAAGTAGTACCTATGGTCCCAGCTGCTCAGGAGACTGAAGCAGGAGGACCTCTCAAGCCTGGAAGTTGGAGCCAGCCTGGGCAACATAGTGAGACCTGGTCTCCTAAAAAAATTATTCATTTGAATTCCCTTAATGTTGGCTGATGTTGATCTATAGTATTAGGACCAAAAAGTGTTGTGTTGTGGCGCCATTAGCAGACACATTGCTTGTAAGCATTTGTGCTATCATCTCCATATATGTCTTCCTTAAAGCACATCTCTGCTGGTTCCTGTGCTACATAATTCATATATCATTCGGCACTTACTGATGGGAGAGTTTGTGGGTTGTGGCCCCCAACTTGAACCATTTGCATAGATAAATCACTTTTAGCACTCATTAAATCAGTAAGATATTCCATGGGTTGACTTCCTAATATAACAGGTTTTTGCTCTTGGGAAGGTGGTCAGTCTTGGTTTGTTAGATAAGCCCTAATTTCTCACTCTGTAATATTTAGGCAAATCTTGAAAGCAGGTCTGATGTGAAAATGCTTGAGAACTTGTTGAACTCGATTTCTACACCAGTCTCTTTGCAAGACCTTTGTCCGTGGTTTAAAAATGAGGTGGTCCCGTTTGTGAGAAGGACTATACCTGAAGGACTGGTGAGTTTTTCCCAGGAGTTCTACTCTTGATGATTTCACTTAATTTGTGTTACATCAAATCACTGAAGATCAAGTTACAGTACTACCAGTTAGTTAGCTTTTTTAATTGTCGTAAGACTAGAGGTGTAGCTCGGTGGTAGAGCATGCGTGAGCCCCTGGTTCAACCCCCAGGGCTGCAAAAATAAATGAACAATTTTTAAGAGATAGTCAGGGAGGAATTTAGTTATTTTAGTGATTCTGTATTGAGAATTTTTAATGATATGTGTTGCAGAAAATTCTTGCAAAATGGTTGGAACAAACAGCCAGGAACCTTGAATTAATGGATAAGGTAATACTAATATACTTAAAGTGGAAAAGACTTTTGGCACTACCCCAGCAGCATGAAACACTATTTTTTAATGGTCTGTAATGTTTTTTAAAGGCAAATTGGCCAGAAAATGGACTTCAACTGGCAGAGATATTTTTCACAGCAGAAAGAACAGATGAGTTGGGACTGGCTTCCTCTTGGCACTGGATTTCCTTGGTATGATGTAGAGAATGGATTTTTAGTAATGAAGCAGTCACTTTATGTTAGTTTGTCTACATGTATGTAGAGAAAAGTATCTGCAAATAGATGTATGTCTTAAGGTTTCTGTTTTTATGTTCCTTTTATTTGTACCTTTCAAATCCACAAAATCAAAAATTTCCTTTTTTCCTTTGTGATATTTCTATTACAATACGAGCCTATTTTAATGCTCTTTTTCTCAATGGAACCAACCAAAAGCAAACAATATAAGAATATTCTCCTCAATAGTGTAATTGGGTATTGTGCAGTAGCAGTATTTCATAATCCTAAAAGAATAAAACTTACTAATACATTAGGATTAGTTTTCAGAGTACAACCAGGATTTCTTCTGTTTAAACTAGTAGGCCATAGGATTGCTGAGAGTTGGAGGCCAGCCTGGGATACATAGTAAGTTCAAGGCCAGTCTGAATTATATATAACAAGACCCTGTCTCAAAAAACAAAACAAAAAACTAGTAGGCCTTTGCTTTATCTGACAGCATTTGCTAGGTATTCCTACAGCTATTAGGGCTAAAATAGCAGTGTTTTGTTTTGTTTTGTTTTTTAAAAGATCGAAGTGTAAAATTCATGAGACTTTCTGTCAGTCTGGAAAAACAGCAGTGCTCTAGCCACATAGCTTGCTGAGAGTGGGTGCCTCACATGGGTGAGGTCCTGGGTTCAATCCCCAGCTCCGAAGACAAAACAAATAAACAAATAAACAGCAGAAAACAGGAACTAAGATCAGGAATGTTGATTTTATACTTGAGGTTAATGAAATAAATTTATTATTTGTCTTGTAAATTTCTTCAAGTTCTTTTCCTTTTAGAGTTTCTAAATTTTTGAGATTGTTCATTATATTGGGGGAGATAATGTAGATACCTGTAACCTTGGTTCCTAGGGAGACTGAGGCAGGAGGATTTCAACCTTAGGGCCAGCCTGGGCAACTAAGCAAGACCCTTTCTCAAAATAAAAATAAGAAAAGTGTTGGATATGTAGCTCAGTAGTAGAGCACTTACCCAGCATGTATAAAGCCCTGGGTTCAATCCCCAATACCGCAAAGAAAACAAAAAAAGTTTATTGAGAGTATCATAATTTGGTTTAGATTAATATATGAGATATTATAATCTCACCTCTGAATTATTACATTCTTCAGTACTAGAAAATTATGGCCTTAAAATATATTTTTCTTAAAAAAATTTTTTTTTTCTGGTACTGGGGATTGATTGAACTCAGGACCTTGCACTTGTGAGACCGGCGCCGTGCCACTGAGCTAAATCCACAGCCTCTTAAAATGTATTATTAAATCACATTTCTCATGTTTTAGCTTTAAAAAAAAAAAAGCTGCTATGTAGATTGGGCCAGGGATTTAGCTCAGTGTTTCCAGCGCCTGCCTCGAAAGCGCAAGGTCCCGAGTTCGATCTCCAGTACCAAAAAAAAAAAGGTGCTATGTTTTAGCTTTAAAACATAATGATACTTCTTTTATTACCTAACTCAAGAATAATCTATTGCTTTCTGATATAGAAAGTTCTTGTTATTAATTATACCTAATGATTATATTCTTTTAAATGAGGATTTTATTCTTTAGGTTTTTTTTTTTTGGTGCTGGGGATCGAACTCGGGTCCTTGCACTTGCACAGCAAGCAGCGAAACCACTGAGCTAAATTCCCAGCCCGTTATTCTTTAGTTTTAAGCAGTTTACTGATTGCTCATTGTAATATGTTTTTTTCCATAAAAGAGCCCCCCGCTTTTGGTTTGGTTTTTGAGACAGGCTCATGCTGTATAAATTTCAGGGTATGTAGTAGTAATCCAGACTTGTTCAGGCTGGCCTTGAACTCACTTTGGAGCTCAGGCTGGCCTTGAACTTGTGGCAATTCTTCTGCCTCCCGAGTGCTGAGCTTACAGATGTTTGCCCCCATGCCCAGTTCTTTTTCTTCCACTTGCTGTTGAATACTACTTTCTCTTTTCCCTGTTAGTTGCCTTTTACCAATATTAAAAATTCCTTTCCATATATATAAAACGTTAGAAAATGTTAAAACTCTATATCTGGTCATGATCTATGTAGATAGATAGGGCATTTGAGGAGGATATAAATGATATATGTGTACCCACGTATACCTATAGTTCTAAAGGAAGTTATGGTAATGTTAATTTTCTATTTTTTTAAGAAAATTTTGACATTCTAATATCTGTTAATTTATAACTCAGTAATTTTAGTTAAAATTCTACACAATAAAGTTTTTTTAAACTTATAGAATTCTGGGCCAGGGATTTAGCTCAGTGGTTCCACCGCCTGCCTCGCAAGTGGAAGGACCCGAGTTCGATCCCCGGTACCAAAAAAAAAAAAA